CACCCCGAATTTATTTGTCAGTGAACATCAATATATTATTTATATTCAATGCCATCAATATAATATTTATATTCAATTCAATTTATATTCAAAGTCTCTCTTGTGAATAGAGCTTGAAACAACAACATCAACAGAGCTGGCAACAGCTGAACTTTGGCCTCTTCATACACTTATCATCATAGAATCATAGAATCACAGAATCATAGAATGGCCTGGGTTGAAAAGGACCACAGGGATCATCTAGTTTCAACCCCCTGCTATGTGCAGGGTCACCAACCAGCAGACCAGGCTGCCCAGAGCCACATCCAGCCTGGCCTTGAATGCCTCCAGGGATGGGACATCCACAACCTCCTTGGGCAACCTGTTCTAGTGCTAAACCTCCCCTGTCTTAGTTTAAAATCATTCTCCCTTGTCCTATCATTTCTCATATATGCTTCTCCAGGATTGCAAGACTCTATTGATGAGCATTTGAAGTTTTCATTTACAATGTACATATGAAAACCCTGCCTTATATTGTCCTGGAGACAACCATATGTTCACAATCCCTGTTCATGAGCATCCTGTCTTTGTCCTCAAAGATGTACAAACAGATATGACTGAAGATCTGGACAAATTTACTGTTTGCAACTGAAGTGGGTAATCTTATCAGATACACAATTTCTGATGAATTCTACAGAAAACAAGTATGCAAGAAGCCAAAGAAATGCATTCACATTATGCAATTCTTCTGCCATATCAGACAACTATTTATACAATGTGGGATAAATCCTCTATTGTAAAGGGTACCCCCTAGAAGTGCCTGTTTTTCTCCACTAATTGAAAAAAAAGAATCCTGTGACTAACTCAGCTTCATACAATCCATGTACTCATCCAACCACATTTGAGAATGGTCAGCGCACGTTTCACCTATTAACTCTCGTTTACATTGAACCTTTAGAAAAGACCAATCCTGTAAGCGAGTTGTAATTGCCAAGCACACAAAGGGCTTTGAAAAATAAGCATTTGAAGTTTACAGTGCTCTGCAGAATCTGTCAGTTGCATGTCACATTGTTTTAGTTCCATTATGCTGGAAGATAAATTGCATTTCCTTCACAAGGAAAGGAAAGACCACACGCAGGTTTTTCTAAGGCTGTCATTTTTCTAATTGTAAAATGCCATAACACTGAAAAGCCGTAACAGAGAAATGCCACATTTCAAGCGATTTAAAACTTTGTAAGAGTCAAAATGTATTGCTAATGGCTTGCTAATTTTCACGTCTGCAGCCTGACATTCCACCTCACAAAATTAGCTGCATTTTTTATCATGTATTGACTTTATTATAAAAGGAAAATCCACTGCTGGCAAAGTGTTACGGGAATACCTCAAGTGTTACTCTTGGCCATTTCTTGATTTAAGTTCTTTACTATGAGAGTGGTGATATGCTGGAACAGGCTGCCCAGACAGGTTGTGGATGCCCCATCCTTGGAGGTGTTCAAGGCCAGGTTGGATGGTGCCCTGGGCAGCCTGGTGTAGTATTAAATATGGAGGTTGGTGGCTCTGCCTTCAGCAGGGGGTTGGAGCTTCATGATCCTTGAGGTCTCTTCCAACCCAAGCCTTTCTATGATTCTATGATTGATAATTCAACCCTATCTTCACTATCTAATAAACAATTAACAGAATAACATTTAGAGAGTGAGATTTCAAAACACATTCACTAAGAAACTTGACAACCATTCTCACCCACCAGTTACAGAGCAGCATATTCAAGTACAGCTGGGCTCCCTTTTTACCACGTCCTGGATATGATCAGATAGCCCTCCCTGCATATCTTCATAAACCCTTCTAAATGGAAGGAGGAAGACTGCTCAGAAAGCCTTTCAGTACCAGCCTACTTGCCTCTGTCATATAATTACATCAAAGTAGCTCCAAAATGACAACCAAATCCAAGCAGACCGGCAGAAAGAGTTTTACCCCCCAGCAAGGACTTACTTTCCCACTGCAGAAAAAAATATGAACATTCTTATTTATCAGAAAAGGAGGAAGAGGTTTGGAGTAGTGTAGAACTATCCACTAAAAAAGACATTTCTACCCATTAGCTATCAAAATATTTGCGTTTGTCCTTTTTTTTTTTTTTTTATTTCCCAGCTCTTAAACATTTTCACAATCTATTAGATCAACAGCTATTAAAATTGTCCTAATGCATTAAATGTTGAAAAGTCATACAGATAGAAAAAGTCAAATGAAACGAGTCTCCTAATTCTTGACAGACTTTAACACATGCATAGCATTTGCTAGAATGTAAAGCAGATAAGTAAAGTGTCCCCTTTTAAAAGTCATACCTTTGAAAAATGAATTATTAAGCAGAAAGGAACACTGAGAAATAGCATACAGTTCCTCACTGATATAGAATGTGATTCTTCCATCACCTTTTTCACTCAGAAGGTGGTGACACACTGGAACAGGTTACTCAAGGAGGCTGTGGATGCCCCATCCCTGGAGGCATTCAAGGCCAGGCTGGATGTGGCTCTGGGCAGCCTGGTCTGGTGGTTGGTGACCCTGCACCAACCTGTGCAACCTGGACTGCAGTCCAGAGCAGATTTGATGTTGCTCTAATTTCAGTGACAGCAGCTCTATTTTGATACTATTTTATCTATTAACTTATAAAAAAAACAGCACTTAAAACATACCTACATCTCTAGATTTCTTTCTTTCTTCAACTTAACTTAGTGAAGACTACGACTGGGCCAAGCACAAACAATACTCCCCTCAGCACTCTCCCAACCCTCGGATGGTTTTAGCTCAGAAAATATCTTTTGTTTTAGTGGTTTCCGTGTACATATTGGCTTTCCCTGGATTTTTCTTTGGTGAACTCGTCCAGTGCTTCCTTGGGGCCAAGTGAACTCTTGGCATCACAGCCTCCTGTGGTAGGGAGCTGCAGAACTCAATGAGCTGTTACATGAAAAATCACCTCTTTTCTGCTTACTTTGAACCTGTGCTCTCACAATTTCAACAGTTGCCTTGTTAAAAAGGGGAACAAGAGCAAACATTCAGCTCCTGACTACTTCCCCTCTACCACAAACAACTTTTAGCACGCTCTCTCTCTCTCTTCAATTGTTTCTTACCCAAATGAAGAAGTCCTGACTTGCTTAATCATTCCCTATGTGTGATACCTTCAATTATTATTAATGCTCTTTTTCAATGTTTTCAGTTCTTACAGGTTGTTTTTGGTTTTTCTTTAGGAAAAGACACGGGAAAATGGAATTCATATGGTAATTCACCAACGTCTTCCTTGCTATTCCCTTTTGCTTTTACAGCAGTTCTCAGTGGATGTGCTTTTAGGTTACTACCAATTGCTGAAATCCCTCTTTGTAAACTCCAGGTCTCATAGCAGGCTGTTGCTGAACAGCTCAAAGCCCACCATTTCACACGTACAGTCAGTCAGAGCTTTTCCTGACACATATCCTTTTGTGTTTACCTACACTTCATTATATCTATGCTTTTATTGCCCACCTAATCTTTCATGATCCTTTTACAGTTCTGGAATTGCTCCTTATTTTTACTGCTCTGAATAATTCCATTGGTGCATTTTGTCATTTCACTGCTTATCCCTTTTGCCAGCTTCTACTAGAACTACTATTTATTACAGCCAGTAGGTGTGCTAACTCATTTCTGAATTAAGACTTTGTAAAATTGCCACCCATTCCTTCAAAACCATGAGTTCAGAAGTCTCCTTGGCATTCACCTTAAGTGAAGGCAGATCCTCTGATGGTTTCCTACAACAAAAGGTTTTGGGGTGAGATTCTCCTCACTATCTTCCACAGTAAACATAAATGCAAATAACTCCATTGGGCTTTCTGGCTGTGGTCTTATATATACTACGTAATCTTTTATACTGGGATCAGGGTCTCTGGCATTTTCTTTTGGTGTTTGAAGAAAGAATGAAGAAACTCTTCCATTATTGAGGAATTACCGAGCCAGAATCAGAGTTCATCCCAAGACGAATGGAGTGGAAGATAAGAAATTTAAGGAAGAAGGGAAATATCAGCAATTCTTAATGATTACCAAGGCTCCATATGCCTTGGTTGGATGATTGCAGCCAAATGGTTGTTGTCAATGTCTCTGTGGCCAGTGATGAGTGGTGTCCACCAGCAGTCCATCTTGGGATCGGTGCTCTTCCATTTCAGTGACAGACAGTGGCACTGAGCGCACCCTCAGCACTTTGCTGATGACACCAAGCTGAGTGGTGCCGTTGACACAACAGAAAGAAGGAATGTTATCCAGAGGGACCCAAAAGTGGGCTCACGTGAACCTAATGAGGTTGAAGAAGGCCAAGGGCAAGGTGCTGCACGTGGGTCGGGGCAATCCCAGCTGTGAGCACAGACTGGGAGGAGAACTCAATGAGATCAGCCCTGGGGAGGACTTGGGGTCCTGATGGACGAAAAGCTGCACACGAGCCAGCAGTGTGAGCCTGCAGCCTGGGAGGCCAACGGCAACCTGGGCTGCGTCAACGGAGGGGCGGCAGCGGGGACAGGGAGGGGACTGTATAAATATTCTGTTCTGTATAAATATGCTGTGATTCTATGACTGCCTCGTGGGGCCCCGCTGCTGGGGGAGGGATTGGAGCTGTGGGAGCGCGTCCAGCGGAGGGCATGGGGATGCTCGGAGGGCTGGAGAGCTGCTGTGAGCAGGAAGGTGAGGGAGCTGGGGGTGGTCAGCCTGGAGAAGGCTCCGGGGAGACCTCATTGCGGCTTTCCAGTGCTCAAGCTTACAGACAGGAGGGGGAGCGACTTTTTACACGGTCTGATAGCGACAGGACAAAAGGGAACGGTTTAAACTAAAAGACGGAAGATTTAAATTAGACGTCAAGGGAAACTTTTTCACTGAGAGGGCGGCTGCACGCTGCCACGCACCGCCCAGAGGAGGACGCGCAACCTCGTTCCGAGCCGCGCAGCCGCACGCACGGCTCAGCCGCCCCTCATGGCGGGGCGGGGCGGCAATGGCGGCGGGCGGGAGTGGTAGCGGTAGGCGTTGCTATGGGCGGTGCCTCCCGCACCTCCGCGCTCGGCGCTCCGCTGCTCAGGTCTACGGGGCCGTCCGTCGAGTTCGGGCGGCGGGGAGATGCTGCTCGGCGCCGCCGCTTGAGCCGCGCTGCCAGGCATGGGGCTGGGCTCGAGCTCCGAGCTCCCGGACGGCGGCGCCGAGGGCTTCCACGTACACGGGGTGAGGCGGCGCGGGGCGGTGGGGGTTATGGCGCCGCGCTGCCTCAGGCGGGCCGAGCCCGCGCTGCCTCCGCGGGGAGGAAGTCGTGTGTGAAAAATGGTGGTGCTGCACCTGGGGAATGCGTGTGTGTGTGTGTGAGAGGAGGGAAAGCCTCAAGGGGCGATTGGAAGCAAATATATAAATATCTAAGTTCACGGTTATGGGCTGCTTCCAGTGTCCGTCGCTTGCTGTCTCGTTTCTGGTTCAGTGAAAAGTAAATATTGACTCAGGTGTAATAATTAACACGTTAAGTCGCTTAACGTGACTGCAGATCCATGTACAATTAATATATATATACATATATATGTTTTTTCAGGTTCAGGAGAACTCCCCCGCTCAGCAAGGAGGGCTGGAGCCTTTCTTTGACTTCATCATTGCGATAGGACACACCAGGCTGGTGAGTGTCTCTTCCAAAACTTTATTTTCTTTTTTTCCTTTTTATTTTTTTTCCCGAGGTATCGTCGTTGTGAGAGATAGAAAGCAAAGCTGTCAGAATAGAGAATGTCTTGTTGGGCGTTGTGGTATTAAAAAGGTAAAGCAAAACATGAGGAGTCTTACTGATGCTTTCAGTCACCCTGGCTTTTTAGCAGGTTAACTCTGTGCTTGTGGTGTTATTTGTGGGTATTTTCTGCCACCAGGTGAATACTGAGCTGGTGAGTCAGTGGTGAGAGCTCAGCATTTGTTTAAGCAAAGTTGTTTCAATGTTTGATAAAATAGGGGAAAGAATCACAGGAAGAAAAGTGCCACGTGGCCTGTGTGCTTATGATTTGGGGCTGGTCACACAGTTCCTGTATGGTGAGTTATTGAGGAAGAATTGAGTACGTTTTAATGCATTGTTTTGGTTTGGAAGGCTCACATCTTTGGCCCAAGGATCAGTACTGATCAGCCATGAAGTGCTGCCATTTACTGGTGCAAACATGTAGTTAAGATCTAATGTTCCTGACTTACCAGAGGTTAAAAGAAAAAGGTAGTAAACAATTAAACTGAATGATAGTAGTTACTTTCTTAGAAGGACATGAGCTAACAGTGCAGACTGCTTCTGAATAAAAGAAAACTGCACTGCTGGACTGATTGTAAAACATAAAGTCTAATGACTGTTTTGGTTCTTTGTATTCAAATTCTGCCATAAGCATGACATCTGTGTTACAGGTGCAACTAGAAATAGCATTAACCATATATATGCATTGCTCTACAGAATAAAGAAAACAATATGTTGAAAGATCTACTGAAGGCAAATGCTGAAAAAGCAGTGAAACTGGAGGTGTATAACATCAAAACAATGAAGATAAGAGAGGTGGAGGTGGTCCCCAGTAACATGTGGGGAGGACAAGGTCTTCTTGGAGCCAGCGTGAGGTTCTGCAGTTTCCAGGGGGCCAATGAACACGTGTGGCATGTTTTGGTGAGTCAGAATTCTTTGCTTATCCAAAAAGTTATTGCTGAGCTAAGAACAGAATGTAGACTTCCATTTCAAAGCTTCCTCCAAGACAGCAATATACTATTTTATTAGTGGAATCTATTCTGTGTAGGGGGTAAACATCAAAAAGGTGTTTTATAGAGTTTTATAGAGTCACAGAATGGCTTGGGTTGGAAGGGACCCCAAGGATCATCAAGTTCCAACCCCCTTCCACAGGCAGGGCCACCAACCTCCAGTTTTACTGATCAGATTTGAAGCTTTTCATCTGTTGTGTGTGTGTTTTCTGTTAGATGAGGTATGCCATTTGGAAGGATTGCTAATTCATAGTCTGAGGTATTTCAGGAATGTTTTCATAAGGATTTACAGATCCTTATGCATGAGAATGTTGCTGTATGTAGAATGCAGTTGTGGGTGACTGTCTCTTGGTGGCCTGCTGGTGTTCCTATAACCTTGCTTTAAAGTATATGTATTTTTAAGAGTAGTATGTAGAAGTGCAGTGCTGAAATCACAAAGAGGAGGGGAACACAGTCTTGAAAGTTTGAGCTATTTGAACAGGGACAGGTTGTTGTCTGTTAGTGTTGCCTGCCACTAAGAATAAAATGAATCCCAGCCCAACCACAGCATGCAGACTGCATGATGGGAAGAAGGGTGCTTTGTCTTGTGTTGAAGAAACAATAGCAAAGCAAAATAAAAAAAAATTAAAAAACAAAACAAAAACCAATGATTCTGGCTCAATTTGTTGTCTCAACTTCATTGAAATAATACTCATATAGAAAAAAATAGTTCTAAAACCAACAGGGAGAGCTGAAAGTGTAGAACAGCTGAGGAAACACTGAGCTGGTCTGTTCTTATGTCTCTGGTTCTTGAAATAAATGCAACTTCTTACCAATTTCAAAACATCTCATTTTCAAATTGGTCCTTCTATATTCGCCATGTCAGTGCACAGTGTTGCACCTACTATTACTGCTTGAAGATTTCTGTTTTGTCCTGTAAACCAGGTGTTCTTTTCTTCTGTTGTCTTTTGGGTTAGCTTTTAGTAATTTCATCTTCTGAGAGTGCAGGTGACAGCTGCCATTCTTTCACAGGATGTTGAACCTGCGTCTCCTGCTGCTGTAGGTGGATTGCAGCCGTACACTGACTACATTGTTGGATCTGATCAGATTCTGCAGGAGGTAGGGTTGGTGTTCCTTCATATATTGTCTTCATGCCTGCTATGTTTATGTGTTAGGATTTATAATCCTAATTGCATGCACACAGAACATATGGGGATGATTGTTTTGGATTTTGTGAGGTTAACTTTTGAGATGCTTAATGGCTGAGGTAAACTTTACCAGTATTTATTCATTTATCTATCTATTTAAACATGGCAAAGGGGAAAAAAAAAAGTGTACATTAGTGAGTTTTAGTCTATCTTTGGCTTTTTAATATCTCATGTTGAAGTAAATGCTTCAAATACCAATTTGTTTCTAGTTCCTCATCTTATGCGTTTAATAACTAATAACTACTGTTATTTCTTTTCTTAGTCAGAAGATTTCTTCTCACTGGTTGAGTCCCATGAGGGAAAGCCACTGAAGCTGATGGTTTATAACACTGAAGCAGACTCCATTCGAGAGGTAGTTGTGACTCCCAATGGAGCTTGGGGTGGAGAAGGAAGGTACTGATCTGCGGACAGCCACTGGGTGATGACAGGTTATGCACTCACTGTAAATGAGCTCTTGTTAAGAATATTGTCATTGATTACAGCTCATTGTTTTCACTTTAAGGCTTATTTCCTTCTCACATTAAATTGTTCATCATTAAAGAAAAGAAATAGCTGAGAGGTATTAGGCATGTTCTGGATCTAATGCTATTTGAGTTGATACTGATGGTAAAATGCTGACTTCCTTGCTAGCAGATGCACTAGCTACAGTTTCACACTTGAGCATTTGGTGAAGCAAGAACAAAATGCAAATTGGGTCAGATCATATATTTCATGAAGATATAGAAAACAGTTAACCAAAAACTGAGCTACATCTATTTAAATATCACTTGCCTTGTGCTCTATCAGTTGCAAAAAGGATTCTTGCAGGTAGGTATTTCCTGCTCCAATTTAAGGACTCAAACTCTTTTTGTTTTAGAAGTCAGAATTTAAAAGGCTTACCAGCTTTGTTAAGGATTATTTCCAAATCTTGTTTTACTTCTGTTGTGCAGTTTGGGGTGTGGTATCGGATATGGCTATTTGCACAGGATTCCAACACAGTCAATAATATCAAAGAAAAAGCCTGAAAGCAAACCACCTTCGCCTTTACCAGAAGCTGGAACTCCTGTACCATCTACTAATGGTTACACAGAGGTATGTAGGAAGTAAGATCACACATCCTATGGAATTTCATTTTCATTTAATTTTCTGCTTGTTTTAAGATTCATAATACAGTATTTTTGAGCACAGCAGAAGTAAGAGTTGATGATGCCAAGCAGATGGCAGAAACGATGGCTTGAGAGAGAAATAGACTTTATTGCCTCAAAATTCCATCTGGTATCTTTCTGTATTCATCACTGTAGTTGGATATTTGGGTGCAATAATGAATATTCCACTTATTCTTTTATTGGTAGTGGCTGAAATGCATTTTTGACAGATACTTGCTTCCTGTTTTGAGGATGTGACAACTGTCTGGATCAGTGAGAAGGTGGTTTAGGATATCCTTGTGACTAGGAAATGAAATACACCTAGAAGAATTAAGTGTCAGCTGTTCAAAACATGTTGGCTTTGAAAGAATATGTTGTAACCAGTCAGAAACAGTGACTTATCAGTTTCAGCATCAACCAGTTCTCTCTGAATTGATGGACTTAGAGGCCGAGACAGAACACTGTCTCATGGGAAGACTGATTTTGGGTAACACCTGCAGCATGAAAAGATGTGTTTTACTGTGTTATTCCAGGCTCCGTTATTGGCACCTACTTCTCAAAGTGACAACTCTGAAGTAGTTATGAACCTGGATCAATCCACAGGCCAAGAAACGAGTGGGTATTCACCAGAAAGCTCACTTTCTCCTCCTCCCCCTCTCCAGAGAGTTATGGATCCAGGTATGTTTTCTTGCATGCTTTTTCCAACTTATTCCCTTTCAAAAGAAAGAGAACACTTAAATAAACCAAAACGCTCTAAACAAGTTTGAGAATTAAATACAAGACCATGAGCAGTGGTGTATAGAGTTGAATTAATTTCAGTCTGCATGTAGTGTGTCTCTTTTTTGGAGCTGAAATTCTGTGTTAATCTGAAAGTGTCACATCATCTTCTTTCTTCAGGGTTTCTCGACATGTCTGGTATTTCACTTCCTGAGCTGACTGACTTAACAAACGTGTCCAGCATTTCTTCCTCAGCCTCCTTCAGCATGCCAGCAGCAGGCTCTTTTGTAGGCACTGAAAAGCTCATGTCAAACAGTGACCCTTCTGCTTATTTTGGTAAGTGTACTCATGGTTTCCAGACCTCTGAGCTACTACAGCATCAGATTTTACTGAGTTTTGCAGAGCTGAGTAAATGCAGCTCATGTATTTGGCAGCTGTGAATCTGTGTGCTGTGCCCATAAGAGGCTTGCCATTCAAACTGATTTTCTAGGCACTATAACCAGAGGCACTGACAGGAATTGGTGTGTGTTTGGTTCTTTGTTTTGTGAAATACTTCTTGATTTCCCAGAGAACACCACAGCTTCGAGCCCTGAAGATATCATGAAGAATCCTGAAGGCTCCGCCAGGCAGCCACAGTTGGACCACCTTCTGCCTACAGCAACATCTTTACCTTCTTTTACTCTTCCTAATGAAATTTCTTCAAAAACAACACTAGAAACTGACCCCCAAAACCAAGAAACAGTACTCATAAACAGTTTTGAGAGCTCATTACCCACTGCTCAGATGAAACCTGATGATGAAGCAGTACCTGAACAGAAAGGGGAAGAAGCTACACAAAGGCATGAGTGAAATGGATGCTGCTTCTGTTTACAAATGAAAGTATGCTGTAAAATTAGTTTGGAATATTTTTCTGATATTGAAAGAATGACATCTGTTCTATTTTGTTAGTGTAGACAACACTATAAAAAAAACATATCCAGATGAACTACATATTTTATTGTCTTCTGCAACCATTGGTCTGCATTCAAACTTTGAATGCCATCCAAAGTCACCAAATGCAAGGCAAAATTAATGTGGAAACCAGTTGGAGAATGATCTTGAATGGAATGAAATGTCTTGAGTTTCTGTAGTGACAAAGGAATAGCTTTTCCTCTGCTTTTCTATTGGCTGTTTTCATACAAATCATTAAGACACAGGGGTACATCATGGTGCAGCAGCATTTATTGCTTTTTGTAGCTTTATTTTTTTATCTTGTTTGCACTTGTTTTCAAATAGCTTCTGAAGGTGTGGTGGATGGTGAATAGTAAATCTGAAATGAACAATGAAAAACATGAGGGTGTTTTTATACCTCTCAAGGCAGTGATTTATCACTGAATTTCACTACTTCTGATTGGGAATACCTTCAGTGTAGTTGGTACAGTTAACGTGGTGAAAATCCTCAACGAATGAAGGGAATTGGGTACCTATGGGTCAAACTGTTCTTTATAGTCCAGTCGTTGTTTTAAACACAGTTTTGATGTAAAACAAGGCAGCCCTGCCTGTAGCAGAGGGGGTTGGAGCTTAATGTTCTTTGAGGTTCTTTCCAACCCAAGCCATTCTATGATATGATTCTATGAAGTCAGGAGGGTCAGAATACTTTCTTCCTGCTTAGAAGACAAATAGATTACGCCTTAAGTATAGGTTGCAGAATTAAAAGATTTGAAATTCAGAAATCCATTCTGCTGGATGGCCCACTAATACTGACCTTTCTACTGCTGCTAAAATAAATTCCTTCTTTTATTCCCTTAATTGACTGCTAGAATTGTAAACATCCAAACACTAAAGGTTTATAATAATGTAATTTAAGTAACTTATGCTAGGGGTAACTTCCTAAGCCTTGTAACTGAAGGCATGCAGGTGATCTGTTTTATTTCTTACTGTTTGTTTAGGACTGCTTCCAGCATTGCACCTTTACCAGCATTGTTTTTAAGCTTATAGCAATGCATTTAAGTGATTCTGTACCCTAAGCACATTTTCAAACCTTCAGTGGAGGAAGTGTCAAAATTAAATTGGAAATGCTACAGGAATAAAGAACTTGATGCTTACAGCAATCTGTGTCCAGCCTGCTTCATCCTAAGTGGATCTTGGGAATGGGAAGAGTTGGTGTGAAGACTTGAGCCCAAGGAACATTTGCCTGATAGAGCAATTAAGGAAAGCCTAGCATGTTCTATTCTTCTAATAGACTGAAGGTTAAGCTTCATTTAGCACTAATTCTCAATTCCTGATCTCTTGCCAAGGAGATTAAATCTCAAGATGCTTGAATCTACCTACAGTACAAGAGTAGAGATCATAACATTCAAGCAAGCATTAATGGGTTTGAGTTAGGTGCTTCAGCTACTGCAGGGTTCTGAATTTCATCTCAGCTGGTACCACAGATTACAGCAGGAAATTTCACATCCACTGCCTTTCACTGTTTTCAAGTGAGAGCAGCTACAAGTTGCTAATTGCATTTAATTGATGGTACTAACCTGTTATTCCTGGGCATTGCCACCACCATTCAAACATCCTTTTAGAGAAGCACTAATTTGCCTTGGCTCAAGGTCAGGGCAATTAGCCTGGTCACTCCTCTCCTACAGAATATAAACAATTGAACTAATAAATCCCAAATCACATTTTTTCCCCCACCACCTCTTCTGCCTGAGTTAGAATTAAAGGTTTTGACTTAATTTTTGAATAGGGCTTTTTTTTTATTTATATAATTTTTAGCCTTTCTGAATTTCACACTAAATCTTTCAAGTAGTTCTCCTTGAAATGATACATTTCAACTACAACTACTGCCTATGACTGCTGGTTTCAGCACTACCCTGACTGAAGGAAAAATACCACTTGCCCTAGTAAATCTTCTTCCTCATAACAGGTTCTGTTTCTCAAAACTTGATTTACAAAGCCTTTCCAATCTGAGCATGGAATTAAAGAAGCTCCTATAACTCAATGGCCTTTCCTATGATTCTGACCATCTAGATCTCTTGCTGTTTGTGATGCACCACTGGGATGTGTCTCAAGTTGACTTTGGAAAAGCTGGGCAGTGCATCTTATGTTCTTTCCTTCAGGACTTCCAGGAAGAGGTTCCAAAAAACAAGATGAAAATTAAAAGGTGAGCAAAAGAGATTCCTCCCACCTGCTGTTCCCTCTGAGAACACTGGAAATGCATTTGGCCCCTACATTACTGCTCTCTCCTCTCAGAGCATCACAACTGATAGCACCCACAGGAAATATTTTCAGTATTCCATTTCTGCACTTTCAGCATCAGAAAACACAACGGTGTTTTCCCATTTGCCACTTTGTGCACAGATGTTTCTACACCAGAAAACTCACTTGAGCTACCTATGTTCTACACTGGTGTTAGCACACAGTATTCTCACAGTATGAAAATAAGCAATGCCTGCAAAAGCAGCATTAATTGTGCACATTCTCCATCTCAACAGCATCTCTAAGTTTGCATTTGAAGGCCTGCTACATTCTCATATTCACCCACATTACAGGATCATCTTGGAAGGTTTTGATGGAAGCACTGCAGTTACCCCAGCCATTCCATTACTTGAGGCTTCAAAGTACTCAGAAGTCCTTTGCAGTTCAGCCATTAAGTGGCAATGGTACAAGTTATAAACTCACATAAGTGATCCAATACACAAAACAGTTTCAGACTTTTAACTAAAGCCTTTTATTCTATACAATTGTGAAACATCATTTATCCTTCTGACATTGCAGACTCCTCTGCCAATCTTCCCTGAAATTGCAGTTTTAGGATGGTTTGGAAAAAAAGAAAAATTACAACATCGGGTTATTTCAAACAAAATTATTGGGAGAATGTACAGTGTATACAATGGGTCAGCAAGATGACCAGAAAAAAGTCTACTGAAACAAAGCACAAAGCTTTGCTATTAGTTAATACAAGTCAGGACAATTTATCAATAAAAATTACAGTTGTGTTTTAAGCATTAATTCACAAATACTACTAAAAATGTGCAGAGATAGCACAACTGTATTAAAGTGAACATACACAGAAATGGGTCTAAAAACTGAAACCAACCCTTCCAAAAGATGAGTGAAAGACATGCTAGCTTAGTTCTGAGCCACATTTTTTATTCAAGCAATGAGTTTCTTGAGTTAGCTTAATAGTGCAGAAGGCAATGATTTAATTTTTTCAAATAAAATACAATGAAAAATATTTCACTTTTTGTTGACCAATACAATCCCAGTAACATCATCTATTGGGACTTTCTTTAGGCCTCAACCTAAATCTTGATAGCAAGACACAGGAAGGGCAAGAGCATGTGTCTCCTGAAGAAACTCAATTAATGTACTGCCCTCTGAAGGCACTTGTGCTTCTGCTTCAGACAAGTCATCTTTACATCATTTCTTTACGAGGATTTTAGTTTGTTCTGGATACAAATGGTTTTCCTGGGACAATCCCACACTTTCTCAACAAAAGCTGAAGTGCTGTTACCCCCCTCCCCCCAATAAGTTAAACTATAAAAGACTACTATGAGTCTGCGACAGTCACAGGTTTGTTCTTTTTTTAGAAATAACAGTGAAAAGAAGATCTGCATCTACAACAAAAGAACAACTGCATATAAAACTTTGGAAGAAAAAAAGAATACGTATTTTTACATCATGAGTATGAAATCTGCTGTGAATTGTCTGGAGTTCAACGTGAAACACTGGAAGTTATATTCAGAATGGTCTGAAGTTTTAACAAAGTGTCACATAGTTATAGAGCAAAGTTACCAAAAATTAGACTGCTGTGTCCTTAAAGCACACATTGCCAGAACTAGTTATATAGATTAAAAAAGAATTCATTAGGTTGCAGCAAAGCACGTTCACCCTATTGTGATGCACAGCATCATTGGACTGACCCTGCTACAATATTTATCTAGTGTTCTTGTTTTGCAGGACAAAAACTCTCTAAAGCAACGTTCAAGTCACAGTATTAGAACAAGTCTGATGTTAATCCTCCATCAGCAATTAAGCGGGCCAATTCTTTGAAGTATGCATTACCTATTTACCAAATGTCTTTAAGTGATAGAAATGGTTCAGTAACCCGAGAGACCACTGTAGGTACTTTATGAATGGAATGTAATAAAAATACTGCCTGTGCAGTTCTAAATTATGTTGTAAATACCACTATTCATTAATATGATGGAAATGGTTTCATATCAAGCGTGAGCAGATGACAATATAAAGTTCTGGAAAAAAAAAAAAAGCAAAAAGGAGGAAGCAAAAGTCTGCATTGGATTATCATCCATTCTCTGTACACCTCACACAATATCAACCACTCAGGGACCTCCCATCTCAGTGACTGAGACTAGGACAGATTTTAGTTTAAATCATACAGGTTTTTTTTCCTCTATATTACAGATCTATTAGTCACTTCAATTAAACGTATATTTTCCATCCATACTGAGTCATTAGAAGTCTCATCTACCTTAGGGGTTCAGTGGGCTTCTATAGTACTACTCTTGGAACCAGTACATTATGGTCAAGTCAATGAGTAACCATGTAAGTCCACTACTCCCCTTCACGTTGATTTCTGGCGATAATGAAGTGTCAGATCACCACCACTCTTCCAGATGAAGTGCTTTACAGTTCGAAGGTCCATATTCGGATCCAAAACCTGAGTAATAAGAACATCATTTACTCCATCAGTCTGCTGCACTGTCAGAAAATTCACAGTATAACGCTCAGGTTGGGCAAAACATTCCTATGGGTGAACTGGCATCAAAGATCAACCGTGTAAAGGCTCAAATTTGTCATCGAGCAAGTAAAACTCTTGTGTTATGGAGAGGTTTTTGCCCACTTAATGTATAATTTCATTAACAACCACTTCCTCAATATTTAACCTTCATGCAAGTAAATGTCAGGAACAAGTTCCTGATTAAAATTTGGAAATTGATGATTTTTAGAGCTCATATCAAGAACTCTGCCAAACTTTTTATTTTTTTTTCAGTTCAACTTTGCTTTTGCATTTCAGTGCTTACCATGTTCTACATACATTTATTGACTATGATCAAAGCCCCCATTTCTTGTTTCCCTCTGCTGCTCAGGGAGAGGAGGGTGGTTGGTCAGAAGGTATTTTTAGTTTGCTTTTAGTTTCTCCCTGCTTGAGTTATAATAAGCAATGAATCATATTAATCACCCTAACGCTGACTCTGTGTTCCTTGTGATGGTAATTAGTGAGTGATGATCTTGTTCTAATCTCAACTCTTGAGCCATCTTCCACCATATTTTCTCCTCTTCCTCTTTGAGGAAAATGACTAAGAGCAATATGGGAGAGCTCAGCTGCGCATAGGTGTGAAACTATTGCATGATTCTATAAAGGCTGGTAGTCAGAACTGAATGAAATAGGCATACTTCATGAATTCTCTGGCCCAGCCATCCACTACTGTCTGAACTTGTGTCAGTTAACACAATAAGATAGTATTTACTTACTTTTAAATGCAGCAGATAATCTGTGGTATATTTCCATATCAGTGCTCAGAAATTCACAACTGCTTGACTGCTAGAAGCTGGTTTTATTCGTGATCTAAAAATTCCTGAGTGACTTACCTGGTCCTGGCAAAGAAGTTCAATTTTCTCTTCTGCGAGCACAGCAATGTCCTCCTCTTTTTCTTGTTCTCCTGCTTTCTCATTATTGGAAGAACTAGTTGTCTGAGACTCATTATCCAAGTTTATGATCTTCTCATACACATGCTCCATCACTTTTCTCACCTGAAGCATATCACTTGCTGACAGCCGGTCTCTACATAAGGTAAATAAAGATTGGCAAGACAAAACTTGAGGGAACTATTTCTTATTTCCATGATACTCTACCTATAGCAAACTACACAATTAGATTTTGCACCTATCATAATATAGAAAGATAAACAGGATCATCCAAACAAAATACCATGACACAACAGCTATCAATCCAAAGAATGGCACGAAGGATCTCTGAAAACCAGTAAGATATCTGACAGACTGAGTTCAAGAAATCAAACCTCATTAGGTTAGAAACCAAACACTCAGAATTACTGCAAATAAATGGTAGGTGTATTGCCCACCTCACTGACTAGACATTCGAGAACCTGCACTGATTTCTAATGTATGCAGTCCACACATAATGGGCAGACCATTTTGTGTTCCCTACCAGGTTCTGTACCTTTTCCTTCTAAAACCTATTATTGATCACTGTTAGAAAGAGGAAAAGAACCATAACTGTGGTTCTGGACAGTAGTACAATCTGTAAGTTCCTCTGTGTTTTGATGAAAACACTACAAACAAAACAGCACCAAGTTAAATTTCGTTATTTGGTTTTTCAGAGATTTCTTAGCATTCACTTAAGAAACTGTCAGTTGAAAGAAACTTTATTTTCTTCCAAAGGTTCTGATACAACTGAATGCTTCAGAGCATGCTGCTTAAATGGCTGAAAACTTCAGTGTTCAGTTTATCAAGTTTATCAAGCACAGTAAGATCCTCTACAGCAATATGTTTTTTTGAGCTTACAATTCCCTTTATGCAAAAGTTGAGACTCAAATATGCACTATTACTTACTTTTTTAGAGTTTTTGCTCCTGAAGACGAATGAGGTTGGAGGTAGAAGGGAATCTTATTGAATTTGGGCATATTTTTCTAGAAGGAAATAAATTTGGAAAATGTTAAATTTAGAATGAACTATTATCAGCTCCCATTTCCACCATCTGGTAAGCAAAGTATAGTCAGTTCCTAACAATCAATAACCAAGAGGTTCTTAATAAGCAACTACCACAGACAGCTTCCAAATTACTCACACTTCCAATGTGCTCCAGTTTCAGTGATACGCATACTGCATCTACCTTTTGAATATAATTATTGTTCACTTCAAAGGAAACTAGATAATATGAAAATACAGCAGCAATGTAAAGGTTACTCTCTATACGTGAGCTCTACACTTGAAAAGGACTCCTGTTACGCACAGTGATTTGAGACCCTTTTCTAAGCCTTCAATGCACAAAAAACCTTAATTGGACACTTCAAAAAAAATCATGCTTATTCAAGGGTCTTGAGTACAGTCCTTGAGACCACTTATTTTAAAATACGGTACGTGAAAGACAGAAAAACTGAACGTTATTTAGATTGAGCTCAGTTAAGAATTTTGTAGTTGACCTTCAACAAACAAAACCTGAAGTCTACATGTGGGAAACTTACGTCCACAGTGATGTCAATGACCCATTGTGGCACAGTCTCATTCAGAAGCATAGACTCCGTTTCACCACCTGAATCCCGACATAATAACCTACAAAGAAGTCAGCTCTATGAATGAAAACGTTCAGTGTACAGAAATCAATCATCATAACACACATTAAAAAGCATTCAGGAAAGGATGTGCCCTTTTAACATGCTTGAAACTTGAAGTTGGTTAGCTAGCCTTTCACAGGATCAAGCTTACTGAGAAAGTGGTCAGGTATTTCCTACAAAGGATAATAAGCAACTAACATGCAAGAAGGATCCTTAAGGCAGAAATAAGGAAACTACTTTGCTTGTGGACTGCATGCAGAATCATGGATTCCAAGCAGAAAAGAACTGTTTTGTCAGCCACCTTTCCCCTTCTGACAGTGTTTACAACACTGTCGACAGTTGCTTGGAAAAATAGAGCTCTGCATATAAAACATCTGCTAAACTCTCACTAAATTGAAATTAAAAATATTTTTAAGGAGTGTGCACATACAATAATGAAACAAAGCCAAACATTTATGTTAATTCCTTCATAGCAAAGCACACCTTGTTTTTATAAATACTAATCAAGTATTTTCCCAGAGATCTCTGCAATCCAGCTCTTAAATCCAACGTGCAAAGCTTGTTTCCTCCAATGGAGTCATTTCAATTTTCTTTTGAGAACAAGCTGTATAACACCTGAAGTCCACCATACAGAACGAATGCAACATTAAGCTCCAGCCAAGATGTATATACACTAATATTGGAAAGAAAAACCCAGCTTTCAAAGCTGAAAAAATGTAATCCTATTTTGCTGATCCATTCACGTACTGAAAGTTACATGGTTTTGGAACCTATGCAGCTTGTGAAAGAAAAAACAATAAACCCAAAAGGACCACCTCCCAACTTTAAAATTCACTATGCTAATAAGTATTAACTCTCTAGTGGGCAGGAGCCATTCTGTCCAAACCATTAATGCTCAGAGACGAATATAAGAGATGCATAACAAAGTCCTACAAGAATTTGCAATATTGCAGTTTCCTTCTAAAACAAAGTTCAGTTAACCTTTTGCAGGAAGAGGACACCAAAAAATATCTCACAGCTACAACACAGAAACTAAAAGCTATCATAACTCTTAACACTGCAAGACCCCACACCTTGCTGACATCCAACAAAGATGTGAGCTTAAACAATGTAAGTAGTATTATTAACTGCTGCTTATTTTGTCTGCCAAGGGCACATCTTAAATGCACAGTACAGAACAAATACAAGTGATTGCATGTTGATAAGGCAGGAAGTGTTTGGCCACTTATATATACTTTTAAGATTCTATACCTGAACAAAGTGCGTCCTCCAGCCTCACCAAATATAACTGGTGTATGTGGTGGTACTTGAAAATATCCATTTCCTTTCTGGACTCTGTTTTCCTGCTCACCATTTACTGCTGGAAAAAAAACACACACACCAATAAGACTGTACTAAACCTTAAAACTGGGTGTACATACTCCAAAAAAATTTTCTCCATCTACAGTCAATTTCATAAACGAAACAAAATCATAAGCTCTGTAAGAGAAAGAAAATCCCCATTTCCAACACATGGCAAGTTTATTAGAAGGAACACTAATGAGTAAAAAGATTTTCCTCTGTGCTCTCAAAACTCAAATAAACTGGCTTTGTTTTTCTACATGGATTTGCCAAATGTCAAGATATAGTACTAGTAAAGCTTAAACCCACACTGCATTCTATATTCATTTATTTTTGGACAGCGTTAGTAGTCTGATCTTCAAACACTTGAAGAAATGATTCTACATCCATGCAAAATCAAAAATTAAAAAGAATTCAGCATTAATTATGCAATTTTTGAAGAAGATTGTTTTTGTCATTCCATACCTTGAAACATAAGTTGTAAGATAAGATTCACATCTTCCAAAAGTAAAATCACATTAAGCAAAGAGCCCAAGAAAGAAAGATTTATTATTTATTAGAGAAGGAATGAATATAATGCTAAGGTAGAGCAGGAGAGAAGTCCTATAGTTTGAAAGATTTCCTCATGGCAGTTCTGTTAACAACTGATAGTAACAATAAGAGAAAGTTCTCATCTTTTTCTTTGAGTTGTTACTTTTGAGAAGGACAAATGGAGGCTCTGATTCTGTAGTGAATGTTCTGAATGTTTCACTAATCCATGACAACTCACAGAAATAAGTAGTGCAGCATAGATGTGCCAACACTACAAAAGCTTGAGAATTACACTTCTATACTGTCTGACTCCAAAGTTGTGGGCAGTCAATATACAGAAGTATGATAATCAGCAAATTTATCCAGAGAAGTCTGCTAAGTGCTGCAACTGTTAAAGAAGCAAAAAATATAAAAATATAAGAACAAATCTCAAAGAAAGAAAATATTAAAATACCAACCATGATTTATTTCATTTTCCTCTTCATCCATTGGATTGATGTGTGTTCTAGGCCAGTACTCCAAAAGTGCTTGCAATAGAAGCCCTCCAAGGTTCACTGTCAAGACACAGCAGAACTTCAGTTACATCAAAAACACTGACTTATAACATCCTACATTTGATCCACGGATGAAAATTTCCCCTAAAGTTCCCAAAGCAAACGAATCATTGGTACAGATATCTGCTTATCACAAACTCAAAACTGCAGGCTAAATCTTTTAGAACAAGTTGATTTTTCAGAAAGACTCAAATCTCAGAATCATTACTGCTGGTTCATTCACTTAATTCAACATTCTCTAGCTTTAATAGTAGCTCTACATTTAGGAATATCACTTTTTCCCCTTTTGCTTCCTGGATGTCTAAAACCAAGTGGGATAATAACAGGGCGGCAAAGTTTTTGGCTACAGCAAATGAGAGCAAGCCTAAATACAGCAGCCACAGATGCAGAAATGAAGGAAAAGAGCTGCTTACATTTAGAAGGCTTCAGGTAGGCGGGGATCTCTGGCAAGAGATACCCTCACCTCCACTGCCAACCCTTAAATGAAGTGTGGGAAGGGGTGGAGCCTGGAGTCAGCCAGGCACACTGCTTGCACCTGAGCTCCCCTTCGTTGGCCCTGCCTTCTCACCAGGTGCTCAACATTTTCAGGCCATGACTTAGCATTTACACTACACCAAGTTAAGAAGAAAAAACAACTTGAATATTTCAAAAAAAAAAAGATGTTTTCTTTGGAGAACTCTTTGCAAAATTTAGTCTCAAGTAAATCTCTCTAAAACCCACTCAACAACTGATTTATCCAACAAACGTTTTGTAATGTAAACACTGGAACTGGTTCTGCTTTTATGTTTCAGTGAAAGACCAATATTAGTAAAAACGTACATTTTGGATCAGAACCATCTGGACTGCTGAATCCAGCATCCTTTGCTGAAACCCAGGCTGCAAAGCAGTCACTTTCATCCAAAGTAATTGTCAGCATCTGTAGGAAAAAGACCATGAGCAAGAAGAATGCAATAGTTGTATTGTACTAAACAACCCTACAAATTTACTGAAGGAACAGCTGGGAATACAAAGCAAAAAATTAATTCCTAACTGTCTTGTGAATTTAAAGTGACACAATAGTGTAAAAGTCATACAGATTATTAAGAATGGAGGCACAATGTATTGATTTGCTTCAAAGTAAGTCAAACTCATCAGATAAATGATAAGTTCTTCAAAACTTAGAACACACTATAATCGTTGTGAAGAAATAGTATACAAAATATGACACCAGAAGAAGTGATTTAGGATTTGTAGCTCACCCCAGTTTTCAAGTCTACTGAGAACCAGTTTGGCACATACACCATTTTAAATCTCTTCTTAATTTCCTCTTCAAAATCTACTTTCCCAAGGTCTTCAACTTTACATGCCTGTACAGCAAAAGGAACACGGGAGCGTTTCAATTCTGCATATTGAATCATAACAGCTCTTAAAAACTTATACTTGATTTTCATATACACTCAAAATTATTATCGTTTCTTTAGTACAGAAACACACAAGTTGAAGCTTCAAGTTTTTCTTCATAAATTGAAGAACGCATTTTTTCTGAGGTAACAGCATCAAGCCAGCAGAGAAGGAAAAGGAAGAAAAAGGTAATCTTAAACACAAGACAATACACTTTGACTTGATGAGTAACCCGTCTCCAAATTGAGTATGTATGCAGATGTATCTAAGAAAAGTTGCTGAAAGCTCTAATAAAAGCTAAAAATAACTGAATGAAGGTACCAAATCAACATTAACACCTGCCTTGGTCCTAATATTGTTCTCAAGTATATACCAACTGTAAGCCAAAAGAAAACATTCACTTTTCTACAAGTCCTCTGAAACATTTTTAGTACAAATCCACGTTCTTCATTCTCATTCCCTTCTTTTTCACTACAGTCAGCAGCTCAGTAGGACAGTTGAGCATGCTATATTAAGGGTCTGAATTTAAAGCAAATGAAGATGTTATTATCCAACCTAACACTGGGCAAAGAGGCTCTTAAGATGCAGAAAGGCTGAATAACGTTCTCTCCTCTTTCAAAAAAGTCATCTTTGCATTATGTCTTAGGACAGAAAAATGACTTATTTTTCAACCAGAAGAAACTCCTGTAACAAAAAAAAATATTTCAGACCCCCCCCCACAAAATAATTACTGATCATCCAACAGTAGATGTTTTATCTAAAATTATGTACTTACTTTTAAGACATCCCAGTATGCCACATTATTATTTGTGTCTTTGGTTAATATGTGTCTCTTGTCATTAAGAATGTGGCACTGAATGATACTAGCACCCCCTGCCAAACAAACAAGAATTAAGGTCACTACACTTATCTTTTTGTCTAGCTTTACAGTAAATCAAACCACGTAACACAACAGGAGTGATTATTCTTTGGTTTAACTATATTACGCAAGCACCACCAATATTTAAATGCTATTCAGCCATAACTAACACTACATAAATGATACTCGTCCTGTTTTTGATTTTATTTATCATGGTTTTGCCCAGGATAGAGTTAATTTTCTCTGTAGATGCTCATATGATGCTGTATTTTGGATTTTTGATGAAAATAGTAGTTGTAGCACCTATGTTTTCATTTGCTGCAGAGCAATGCATAAAGTTGTTACAGAACAGTCCTTAAACAGAGCCAAGGACTTTTCAGAAATCAAAGTGTCAGATAGCTAAGAACGTGAGCTAGTCTTAAAGATCTACCATTTCTGCTAATGATAACATTTTACAAGCGCTCAGGAAAACAGCTGTTTACCTTTTATAACTTGGTCAGGCTGTGTACATAGGGGTGGTATAGGATTGGTACAATCATTATCATAGTCCCCAGATGCTCTAAAATTATGAATTCCCTTCAAAGTCTAAAGAAGCAAACAAAATAAGGACACATTCAATCATTTCAAAAAACTTTGCTTTTACCTTGACTAAGAAGTGCCAGTTCGTGTTGCTATTCAGATGTTAACCATTCAGTGTTGGATATTTTATAAATAAAAGCAGCAGAGATAATAAAGGAAGTAACTCAAAGATTTATATATTTTGGTCAACTTGAGTATTCACATTTCACGATTTAAACGAACAAAGAAAAAATGTTATAGATCATCTCAATTCAGTCTAATTGCAAGTAACACTCCACTAGATCCTAAAGCAAGACTGCAAATTCCATGATGACATACTTGAATCCACAGAGCATAAAATATTTATCACTTACCCATTTATTCACAGAGGATTTAGTTGTTGCAACCCAAATTGCTGGAGGAGGATCAGCTGATCTATCAAGTTCCATCTAGATAACAGAATTATAGATATTTTCAGTCACTCAATTTAACTTTGCTCTGTGTATGCACAGCTTGTATAATGGCTTTCCATGTGAATGCACTATCTTGGCTTAAGTGTATAAGCAATATACATATATATATACATTTATATGGCTTATATACTGGTTTCTGTTTCAATCACACTTTTTTTACACCTACATGTTACACTGTCATGTCATTAAGAGTTACAGATAATAAAAAACATTTGATCAGCAGACTCTTCAAAAGCAATGTCCTCAAAAGACTCAGACTCATGCACACGTTTTTTCCCAGTTAAGATCACACTGTTTCAGTGTTCAGAAATCTTGCTGCTGGTTCCAGTGATTATGCAAAATATTACTAATACAGTTCTGTGCATATATTTCTAAGAAGCAATTAATTTTTATCTCAAGCCTTGGCAGTGCTGATTTGCTTTCTAAAAACCGTACTAGAGCCCAGTAAAAGTAACCTTTCATATTTAAAACGTCCTCAATTTCAGTAATGTCTGAATTTTATACATTTTTGGTAGCAATCAGGTATTTCTTCAGACAAATAAGTTTCAGATGTAATTTAAGACAAAAAAACTCCAAAATATTGGAGGCTGCTGGTCAAGTAAAAATGTGCAGTATACAATCTTCTGTCAGCATACACCTGAAGCCACTGTTTCGTTAGACAGGGTAAGTGCCAGGACAAGAAGCAGATGGCACAAACTGAAAAACAAGAGGCTCCCTTTGAAGAGCAGGAAACAACTTTTTTTTTTTTTTATATTATTAATATTTTTTAGATTGTGAGGGTCACCAAGAAGTACCAGAAAAGGTGTTACAAAGTGTTCCTCCTTGGAGATTTCTAATACTATCTTGAATTGGTCCTAGGAAACTGGCTCTAGATGGTCCTACTTGAACACAGGGTTGAACAAAATAATCCCCAGAGATACCTTCTGACAAAAACCATTCTGTGATTTTGTGAAACAAAACCAATTACCTTAAGAACTGGTGCCTTTTCTTCACAAATAAGCACACGAATATCAGGATTCCGTAAATCTGTACAATAGATCTTCCTGTCTCTTCCTCCTGAATAAACATGAGTGAATGCTTCATTGACCTGCAGAGCCCAAACACCTTCATCATGGACTCGATATGTGGCTATACATCTCTGCTGCCCAAGGGACCACAGCCGAATAGTCCCATCAGAACTGCCTGAAAGACACTGAGCAACAATCATTGTAATTTCATAAAAACCTTTCATAATTCTTCTTTTTCTACTAAGATGATGCTAAATGAAAAGTGGCAGTTAACAACTCTCGTCACAGTTTGTATTCATCACTTTCCCATACATGAACTCCATTCACTGTCAGCCTCCCCCTCAATCACTCAGCATCTAAACAATTCTTGTTGGTATATCTTCTGTAATCTACAACATAGAGCAGTTATTGTGCTGAAAAGACATTAATGACCTTTCCGCGTTCTGCAAAATGCCTTGCCTCAAATAGAAACACATACCTGGGTACCATCTCTGTTCAACAGCAAAGCTTTTACATTGTCTGTGTGTCCTTTGAGTTTCATTAGTTTTGCACAAGTTCTTGGATCCCACACCCTGAGAACCTACATAAACAGACACAGAATAACTGCATTAACATTCTTTCTATGTATGCATTGTCTCTATATAATTAAGCCTTTCTGAATAAACTGACCCTTACCCTCAATAAGTACACATCCATCACCAAAAGCATATTTCATTAGAACAGGATACACAACTACATCTTATGCATCTCTAATAAACAGACAGGATTTTCTTCCCTTGATTGTAATGGTATTTGTTCTGGCTTTTTCTGTTGTCTTCTAAAGACCTTAATGAATGGAAGTGACTGGAAGCAAGAGAGTGTGATGTGTGGAAAGAAAAAAAATTCTGAGAACCTGGCATATTCTGGTATATTCTACTTTCATTTTCACATTGACAAAGAACTGATGGGTGCTTTACCTTTCTCTACAACAAACACCATCAAACACAAAGTTTCACTAGCTCACTTTACTAACCACCCCATGGGGGCCTTGGAAGTTGCTGTATCATTTCTTTTTCACCAGTGGTACATGCTTCAGTTTGTATGATCAGCTGAGTAATGACCCCAAAATTAGAGCTCTTACAATGAAATTAAATGATCTCTGATGTACAGAGGTTTACACAAGCCATAGTTTTAATACATAATCTATAGATGACTGATACTTCGACTTCCACTCAAAAAAAAAACCAAAAAACAAAAAAGCCTCAACTTTCCTTACTTAAAACACAAAAGCTGCTACAGGCATAGAACTGAACATGAGTAAAATTGTCTCTTTTCTTTACATTAACATTTGAACAGAAGCAGAATAAGCCTTACAAGATTTTTGCTTACCTTCTCAGTGGACCCCGAAACAATAACTGTTCCCATTTGATTCATTGCAAGGCTATAGATAGAATCTTTGTTCCCACTCAGGGAAGAAGCTGTTTCAAAGCAAAAAGTTAACATTTTCAATTTTAATGTTGCCACTTGAAAATGTAGTTATTTATTCACCAAAAAACCCACTATCTTTACAGAATCAAATGTAGGTTTTGATCTATAATAGTGCCATCCTACTCCACATATGGGGCTCTGCTAAAAGAAGAGCAAGACTGTAGACAGCATATTGCTATGCTTTCTGATTCGTGATCTAGTGCTGTATAGAACTTCACTACAATCCTGGTGTCCACAATGATTCAATGCAAGGTAGTCTTGTGGTTTGTAACTACTTAGAGAATGGTACTTCTAAGTGATCTCCTAATAAGTGCTTGAATTTAAGTGCAGAGATTTTTCCAAGCCAAGCAACCTAAAAAGCAGTAATAAAAATCTTTAAGTTTAGCACACTGTCCAACAAGCATATAACCTATAAAAGGCTTTAAAACTTCCCCTATGGTGCTAACACGGGCAGGAGGACATTGAGAACAGAGAGAATCTTAAGTACTTGGAAACAAAATTCATACTGGAAAAGAAGCAGTGCTCAATTCCTTCCTCTTCTAGAAGGGACAGCCACTCAGAAGCAAAACTCCTCATCTAATTTAAACTATAGCTATGCTGATTGAGAGACACTCTTTAAAAACAGGCTTCCTTTTAATGTTGGCTTGTGTACCCTGTAATCAGACAGCAAATTAAACCACAGCCTTCACTTGCACTCTGATGAAATAAGTGCTGTTTGAAAGAACTGTGGAAAGCCAGTTCATTCAGAACACACATTCTTCCCACCAGAAGCATTTTTAGTTGGGAACACTGTACTTACGAAGAACAACTTTGCCTGCTTCTCTTCCCTCTCCCTTACCAAGCACTACTGCTCTAACACCAGAAATACAAATTTATTTCTGTCATCTTAGAGGTAATGCCTCTACTTCCTTTTCATTTTGTGCTCAAAACAAATTATTTGGGTTCTGTATCACGGTAGCAGCATTTAAGAAACTCATTCTTCCCCCCTAGACCAAGCCAATTCTTTTCTCAAAATATTCCCTGTTCAACCAAAACACGACATGTCTTAAAGTTATCAGCAAAATCTGGTGACAAAACACTCGTTTGAGTGATAGCAAACTTCCACAGAAAACAAAACTATTTAGCTGTGTGCAGTCATGTCACCCCACTTATTTTGGGGTCCAAAATAGCTCAATGGAAACCATCTCTGCTGAAGGCTACACAAACATGTCAGCACAGGGCTAAAACTGAATTAAAAATCCTGTACACAGATCAAACACTCCATATAAAATGAAAGAGACCACTCACTTTGAACAGTATACTTCTGAAGTACCTACAGGCAGCAAAGCACACTGTGATCAAACTAGATCTCCCTCCACAAAACGTAAGAGCTGTCACAAAACAGGTTGCTGATGGCCCAGGTTTGTGTCACTCACTCAAGCAATTAAATATTACCCAACTTGAAGGTTGGTGTCACACTTTCCAGAAGAGAAACTTGACCAACACTGTTCTGACAATTCTAAGAAACTGAGATTAGGATTGCTCTCTGGGTGAAAAAACAGTGAATTTCAATATACTGTAATATCTTTAAAGGGACAGAGAAGAAATGAAGAGTACTCCTTAAAAAATAATGATAAAATTAAGGATTAAATCTGATGTAGAACCCACTGACAGCATCCCCTTGCCTCCTAACATTTAACTACCAAATTAAATCTTTCCAGTACCCTACCATTACTTCTGTATCACCCATAATGGCAGCAATTTGTATCTAAATTTACCTACTAACTTTATTCTTCTGACAGATACATCTATTGAATGTATCAAATTCTGCTCTAGGGACTGTACTACATTTGTTGCAGCATCTAAATAAACACAAAACACATTATAGAAATTTCCCCTCCAGATATTCTCGGTGCATTTTCTGTACTAGCTAAGGAGCAAAAAGCCTCATAAGCTAAAGCTCTGTGAACTTTACATTACATCTCAGGAAAAGAGGTCCAAATAGACCTGTATCTTTATTCTGAGCATGACTGTTGGCTGTTCAACATCTGCAACTATTGTCTAACACAATAAATGGACCAAGTATATACCCTCAAAAACTTACAGATTTTTGCACATTTTTTAATCTGCACACAGAAATGGGTATCTCTAGCCTTAAAATGATCTCACAGATTATGCATGTTCAATAAAATATGCTGCATTTGTCTCCCATCCCCAGATACCTACTTGTGACAGTGTTGTTTGAGGCAGTCAGTGCTGTTAGAGTATTTACATCCCAGAGGAATATTTGTCTGTCCAGCCCGGCAGATGCTACCAGTTCTTTATCTTTTGCATATGCTAAGGCTTTCACATAATCCTATAACAAAGTGTAACAATGTGACTCAACAATATTATACACTTGAAGCTTACATCACAACATTTTAAAGGTTGTTAATTGTAATATATAGTGGTAACAAATAATGTTTTTCACCTTATGTGTCCTTAGTGTTGACATGCAAAATCCTTTATGCGCGTTCCACACTTTAACAGTAGTATCTGAAGAAGCAGATATCACTAAATGGGGAAGGATAAAGAGTGAACTTTAATAGCTTATATATATTACCTTAGAAAATGTCTGAACAATCCTCTAAGCTTCTTAAAAAATGATTCAATGAAAACAAAATGTGTATGTACAATTCATTTAAATGTGCTTACAGAATTTTAGCAAATTAACAACACGCACCATAGAAATAAATTTTATATGCTTACAGAAGACAGTACTTACATGTTTTACCATTGCAGCAGAGTACAATATCATTTACCCAATCCGTGTGATGTTCCATAGATGCAATATACGGGTCTTGCTGGAAATTACAAAAAAAAAAAGTTTAAAGTCCCCTTGTGAAAGGAAAAGATAATGCAACTATCAGATTCTGTTGTGACATTTGCAATCTTCGAATGGACCAAAAGTTGACTAACGTGATTCTACTTGAAGTCACTATTCCACTTTTTTTTAAAATGCCATATCACAAAGTAATTCTCAGGGAACCTCCTATATATTTTAAACTCATTCCCATTTCATGATGAATTTCACCTCAAAATGTTTAGTTTTGTATCACAGAAAAACAACTAAAATGGCAGTGTCTGCCAAGCTAAAGTTATTTCTGCATTCATAGGATTAGACTTGTTCTGTTTCTCTCTGTAGCAGAACAACTAAAACACAATACAAAGATCTCTCTGGATCTCTCAGCCTTGAAGCTTATAGAATCACAGAATTTTAGGGGCTGGAAGAGACCTCAAGAGATCACAGAATTCAATCCCGCGCTAAAGCAGCTCCCTGCAGCAGGGCACACAGGTAGGCATCCAGAGAAGTCTTGAACATCTCCAGAGGAGACCATAGCACCTCTCAGCACAGGCTGTTCCAGTGCTCTGCCCCTCTGACAGTGAAGAATTTCTTCCTTGTGTTACTATGGAACTTTCTAGGTTCCAGATTCTGCCTGCTGCCCCTTGTTCTATTATTGCTCGCCACTGAAAAGAGTCTGACAGAAATGTTATCTCCTGCATATTTCACATGGAAGCCCTGGTTTCCAGTAATTTGCTCAGATTCTTAACACTCACCTTTTGTTCAGAGGGAGCCAAGGCTGGTGACCCCTAAGGGGAAAGCAGCTTGGTAGAAAAGGACTCGGGGGTCCTTTGGACATCACGTTGAACATGACCTAGCACTGTGACCTTGCTGCAAAGAAGGCTAATGGTATCCAGGGCTGCCTTATGCAAAGTATCATCAGCAGGTAGAAGGAGGTGATCCTTCTGCACTGTGTCCAGTTCTGTGCCCTCCAACACCAGAGAAACATAGAATGACTGAAGAGAGTCCAAGAAAAGGCCAAGACAACTAAGGGTCTGAAACACCACTCTTCTGAGGAGAGTCCAAGAGCCAGAGTTGTTTGGCATAATGCTTTAATAAGCTTCCCTTAGCTAGAAGATCAAATGCAGTGTTGAAAGAAAGTAGAGCTAATAGAATGTGATCAACTTAAAGTCTTAAAAATAATAATAAAGAGGAGATAACAAGTAGAGATCCTCCCAAGATATCAGAATCTATAAAAGAGCTCACCAAAGGTTCATTTGTAACTAACATAATATACAGACCTAAGCAATCTTTTTTTATGACTACAACATAAAAGTAGAATTGCAACATTCTACATTTAATTTATCTCAGTTGTGATTAGTTCTTTAGGATGTTGGCCCAAATGTGGGTTTGTAAACTCCAATATATCTCGTTACAATATGAACATTTACCAAAAGCATTTTTCTACCACGACTGGCAGATGTTAAAATCTGGTATATATGGTATACACCTGTAGCATACTAACTGAAAAAAACACAAAGCAGATTTAGACTGAGAAATTCTCTTGGCTTACCTTGTGCTGATTGACACTCCATATCCTTATAATAGAGTCTCGGCCTGCTGTGAAGAGTCTATTTAATGCTGGATCCAGCTGAAGTGCATTTACCCCATTTCGGTTATACTTCTCCACCTCATCTCTAATCACATAGGAGACCTAAAATACATTTACACAGACCTGATTATGGTATTAGGATATTGAATTGGCCACAAAACGCCACCATCTAATTTCATTCCAGTGAGGTTCTCAGGTAGAAAATACTAAGAGCTTTAAAAGCATTAAATGAGTCTGCCAGTTTGAAAGTTACCATCGCTGCCCTCAGTCAATTTCCTCCCCCTGAAAATGGGGAAGAGTTACAAAGAAGATGTTAGCAGTGCTACACAAGGAGCCCAAGGGATTATTTAATCCTTACAAATCAGGCTTACACTGGGAGAATCCTTAGTTCAATTCCCCGCTCTGCACAATGATTCTGGATGATCCCATACAACACGATGCATTCGTGTCTCATTTTCTAAGCAGGTTTCACGGTTTCTAAAGCTGTGATGACAGTGTTTTCCAGCCTTGCAGGGAGAGGATGCCGCCAGCAAGGATTACAATGCACTGAAAGACTGCAGGTTCAAATTCTATCCCAGCTATCACTATTAATACTATTATGACACTTGGAGAAAGGCAGTATTTTGATATTTTTTTGTGTGTTCTTTAAAAAAAGAAAAAAAAACCTATCTCCTTTCTAACATAATAAGAAGCAGAAATATTTAGTCTTCTTCCAATTAGAGAAATTTTTCTTTCAGTTTCAGTCCTTCTGTATCTGACAGCACAGTGTGCTTTGCTCACTTCATTGTTTTATTCAGAAACATCAAATGCAGATTTAAGGGGACAAACTGCAAGGTTTACAACGCTCTGCACTATTACTCGTGCAGTAAGCACAGTTATAAAGCACTACAGATGCTTCCAAGCCAACCCATTCACACCATGCTGCCTCTCTCCTGACCACTCATGCAGTGTTTGCATATGGCTAAGAAGAAAGCTCTCCATTCAGAGATAATGTGGGGGGAACCAAATGCTATCCTCCTTTCCAGATTCTGGAAAACAATTACAACAGGGTAAAACATTAAGCTTGACAGAACACAACCTGCCAACAGCAGGAATCATTTGGATATATAAGTGCCAGTTTTTTGAAAACTCTTTCAAGGAGTAGTTTTGGACTTTATGAAATTAACTTTTCAGTCCCATAAGCACCTTAGAGCAGTATAAAGAAATTTTTTTTCACTGACCAACCATGTATAATACTGCTGTTAAAACACTTCCAGGCCTGGGGTCCCCAGCACAGGAAGGACATGGAGCTCTTGGAGCAGGTCTAGAGGAGGGCCACTAAGATGATCAGAGGGCTGGAGCACCTCTCCTATGAGGAAAGGTTGAGGGAACTGGGATTGTTTAGCTTAGAGATGAAAAGATTCCAGGGAGATCTCATTGTGGCCTTCCAGTGCTTGAAGGGAGCGTATAAACAGGCAGGGGAATGACTGTTTACAAGGGTGGATTGTGATAGGACAAGGGAGAATGGTTTTAAACTTAGACAGGAGAGGTTTAGGTTAGATATCAGGAGGAAGTTTTTCACACAGAGGGTGGTGATGCACTGGAACAGGTTGCCCAAGGAGGCTGTGGATGCCCCATCCCTGCAGGCATTCAAGGCCAGGCTGGATGTGGCTCTGGGCAGCCTGGTCTGCTGGTTGGCGACCTTGCACATAGCAGGGGTTTGAAATTAGATGATCATTGTGGTCCTTTTCAACCCAGGCCATTCTACAATTCTAAGATATGATTCTATGTACAGAGCAAGATGCCCCTGCAGCACTTCATCTGGCCTCGACCATGCCACATCTATGTTGTTTAAATGCCCATGCAGCCTACCTAACCCAAAGAATCAAAGTCAAGGTCTAACACACAAATCAAGAAAGATGGGCAAAGTCACACTGCTTTCCAACTTCTGAATAAAAGCAATGAAAAGACTAAATGCAAGCTGTTCAGCTCTTTACAAGCATTGTTTACATTTTGAGAGAAGCGAGAAAATGAGAGCAAGTATCTTGTTTCAGGGTTAATAAGTCTCTGATAGACTTAAGAGCAAATGGAAGATGCCGGTACCAGTTTAGTGTTGAATCATGCTGTTTCTTTTCTGTGAAAGACCTGACCAAAGGACTCTGCAACGGCAACTGAATTTAAAATATCTTATTTCCTACTGTTTGGTTGTTTTTTTTCTGTTTTTTTTTTTTTTTTTTTTTTTTTTTTTTTTTTTTTTTTGGTGTAAATATGTGACAGATTGAATGGGGAAAAAAATAAAGACAGAAAATTAACAAAAAAGCTCAACACTTAGAATAATACCCGGAAGTAACCACTACTTTTCACAGCATTCTGCCAATTACTTACTTCAAACACTAAAAATAATCCAGAAGTCCTTAAAAGTACAAGGGGAGAGAATTAAAATGAAATAAAGTGATTTTGCAGTTAGCTAGTGTATTGGATACCATAACACCATTGCAAATGAATAGCACTTCTGTGTTCAGAGCAGGACAAGAGCTGGCAGCAGGTTGAACTACATTTCAAGAACAAAATATGAATGGAAAATAATAAGGATGGCATAAATATGGACTCTCCTACTCCCAAACTTAATGACATTCTGGAGTCAGAGAGGAAATCATAAGTTTCTTTTTTATATCAAAAACAAAAAAGCATTAGTTGGTCCACTCTTGCAAACCACAGTCATTTAGACTAAAGCAATCATTTTAAATACAAAAAAGCTAAGACAAGACAAATGGTATGCAGGGCTCAATTAAAAATAACATCAAAAGGCCAGAAGCATCCAAGACTGTATTCAAATAGTTAATTACACATTAACATGTTGTTTAAAGGGACAAAATAAATCTTCCACAAAGTCTGCCGAAAGGGGGCTAGAATGCTTCTCAAAACAAGGAGCTTGAAATCCAGCAATAAATACAGCAGCAATTTGATTTAAAATATCTGACAGTTATTTAAGGCTGGTGGACAGCAGTCACATTCAATAAAACCTAGAGATCACTAAGGCGAACAGAGAAAGAATACTGGTTATCCACATGTCACTCTGCATTGTTGCCTTATTTTTGAGGAGAAATGAAGTATTATTATTTGGTTTTAGATTGGAGTGATATTCAATATAGAAATAATAACTGTTAGAAAATACAGTAACAATACAATAGTTATGAAATATATATTCAAGTATGTGTACACAAACACACAAAATAATATATACAACAGGTTTTTCTGTGATTAAATTCTCCTCTAAGCCACAGCATGGACGTTTTTAACCAGATGAGGTTGCATTGCATCTGGAGAGGACTGTGAAGGTCATCAGGAAGCTATGACTTGCACCACCTGGCAGACATTTCAAACAAGGCAACTGAGATCACATTGCTGCTTGGTTCACTCATCGATTCACAAAGCCAGCATCAAACACAAAGATGATGACTGACACTGAGTTTGTTGTGATATTGCCAGTTGATGGTCCAGGCAGGGCAAGCTGTGGCATGAAATACTTCAACAACAACCAAGGCTTTTTATATTTATTATGCTGTAGCATTTATAAACTCCTGTAACAAACACCACCACTTCACTGCAGTAAACGCTGCATGAATATTACAGTGATGAACACTCACTATAAAGAATTTATGGAACTCAGTACCTTAAATGGATCAGGACTAACCATTTTAATGACTAAGAGCACGAGAGATACAGGTAATATCAACAGATACATTTCAATACACAAGTCCAAGTTCTTGCAGTACCTGTAATGCATTTCCTTCATCAATTCCATCAACCAGATGGAAATTTTGCTCCCTAGTTACAATACAGACATTAAGACAGATTTTCTTTATGTATGGGTAGAATCTGCTTTTAAAAATGCCAGCATTCCACTGGAAGAAACAGTAAACAGACCAGGTATGAAGGCACGCATTTCTTACTTTTAAGTGGAAGGAAATTCTCAAAGACAGCAGCTGGCATGGACAACTGGGAAAAGATATTTTTCAAGAACCCTAGAATGCATTGGCTGCATTAAAAAATAAGAGATGAAGTAGGTAACCACCAAGGAAAAGATAAAACAAGCTGTTTCTTCAGCATCTTGGCACTGCAGATGGTACTCTTTAAAATAACCTAAGTTTCTAAAACTAAGAATATACTGATATTTTAAATTTTCATCAGAGTATCCAAGCCCTAGAATAACAGTAATGTGTTAAGGAGTTCATCACATCTTTTTACAGTGAATCAATTTACTGGGTAAGGATTAGATAGAACACTATACATAACATCTTTAAAAAAATACATTGCATACAAAACCTACCCTGTTCTTACTAAGTTCTATCATTCAAAAATAAAATCAGTAGCTGAAATATTTCTAACTACAGAAGTTTCTCCTTTCACTACTTTCCAGTTGCTGTCAAGATGTTTTAGTGAATAAATATGACAAAATCGGTGCAAAGTCTTCTTACTCTGTACAGGCCTTTACCTTTAAGATAAAAATACTTAAAATCGATTCAAATTTCATAATCAAGATACTGGTCCAAATCGCATCGATATTCACCAGCTGTGTCAAGAGATTTGGAAAAGAGCATTTATAAGCTTCACCTGAAGGGAAGTTACTTTAAGACACCTGCTGAAAAATGGCTTCATCTTGAATTAATTCACAGTACCACATCTGAAAGCCATAGCACACGGCCAACTGCTTCTCATCACACAGTGGTGTTTACTACTCCCAAACCCTGCATCTCCATTCCCCTCCCAGTTAAGGGGACTTTACAGTTGGAACACTAACACATTTCAAATGAGTGCCTTACATTTACATAATTATAATTCTTACCTTTATCCACGTTCAGAAGTTATTTTGAGGTCTGAAATACCTACCCTGATTAAACCCTTATGCAATATACAATTATATGCAGAAGCATCCCACACTATTTTGGATGGTTTTACTGACCAGTAAAACAGGTGCATCAGAGACAACAACAGTTCAAACTCACATAAATCTTAACCAGCTCTCATGTTTTGTAAAGAATCAGGTTCCTCCATGCCTGATGGGCATTTTTCTAATCAAATTTCAGGAGAAATCTCTATTATTTGAAGCAGAAAAATATTAAATGCTCAGCCACTGGGAAGCAGAACAAACTGTTAATGGTTTTTACTTTCTACCAGCAGCTGATGGATGTAAGAGCCACTGAGAATTCCATTACCTGACCAAAACCCTGTATTTAACCAAGTAAGTGAAATAATAGGACTGCAATAAAATACTTACTTTATACTTAATACTTTGTATGCGCATATAATGTAACCAAAGTTATTCTGTTGATCTAGACTTTGAGTGCACTGGCTGAAGCCCAGATCAAAATAGCAGGATATGGAGAAACAAAAAGCATCAAGTAACACAGTGATAGCAGTTCGTCAAATAAATAGCTAGCTACAAAACTCCCTTCCTTGGGAGGCCAATCTTCAAGAACTTGTGCATGCTACAGATGATGCTGCAATATTTTGGATTCTTTGTATTTTTGAGAATGCCAGTGGGTTTTTCAGAAGGGCACGGGGATTCTGTATGCAGCACTGACCAAGTGCTTACATTAACTATAAAAACCACTATAAGGTAAAAACGTTTCCCCTGTGTGACAGAACACAAAAGATGCCTTCAGACACAACACCCACCTTTGTTTGGAAGGATGCTGAGACTATTTCAAGCCAAATCGATATTATTATTATTATTTTTTTTAATGCAGTGGTTAAAAACAGCTGAAACTTGCACTTGCCACTAAAAGTAGGCATAAAACATCAATCCTCTCCCATACCGAAAAATATAAAGCTATTTAAAGTGCTGGCAGTATCCCAAACAAGATAACGAAACATCACAATAAACCCATTTTCTCGACTTTTACCGTTCACATCCACAGCCTGATCGGTCTGCGGCCTCCCCTTAGGAACGGCTGCCGGTAGCCGGCCTGGTGGCTCAGCTCTGCTTCCCCCGAGCTGAGAAAGCCGCTCCCCTTCAACCCCTCAGCCGGGCCGCGGAGCCGAACACCGCCTTCCTCACGAAGCACCGCGGAGACCCGTCACCCAGCAACCACCGCCCCCTCCAGGGCCCCGCCATCTCCCTGAGGGCAGCCCACGCGTACCCACACCGCTCCGAAGCCCCGCTGCTCCCCGCAGCCGCGCACCCACCTGCACTTTCCGCCGCCCCGCCGTGTTCTGCCGGTGATGCGCCGCCATCTTGCATGTTGACACTGTGACGTCACTTCCGAGGAGGACGAGCCGTTCCGGAAGTCCCGCCCCCCTCTCTGCCCGAAGCCCGTATAGAGAAGAGACGCGGGCGCCGGCGTTGACTGGGGTGTTGCTAAGCAACTGCGAAGGGGGCGGGGCCAGCAAAGGAGGCGGTGTGAGCGTTCCCGCCCTGTGTGGCCGCGCGCCATTTTACGCCCTTAGTTGTATCTTCTAGTTCTCGAAGCTCCGGGTGCGGGGTCATCTCCTTACTCATCCCGCCGCTTCCTGATTGTTTTCTTCCTGTTGGTGGCCGGAGGGACAAGTTTTTATCCCTGGGAGAGCAGTGGAGGCCTGGCCTATGGGCTGAAGTTGTTCGACTCCATCTGACTTGGTGTGGGGCTGAGGTGCTGACAGAACGCTGGTGCGTAGCCCCGACACTGAGGTGCTCTGGCTGCATCAGGCAGTGCCTCTGTGCTGCTGAAGGCTTTATGTGTGCCTTTAAAGGTCATAGAATGGCTTCAGTTGGAAGAGACCTTAGAGATCACAGAATTGCCAGGGTTGGAAGGGTCCTCAAGATCATGAAATTCCAACCCCCCTGCTACAGGCAGGGCCACCAACCTCCCCATTTGATGCTAGACCAGGCTGCCCAGGGCCCCATCCAATCTGGCCTTGAACACCTCCAGGGACGGGGCAT